CATGGATTTTCTCTCTATTTCCACTCAATTTTACTTTGTCGCCATTTCAGAGATATTTTTTAAGCACTAAGCAGAATCTGGAGAAGAATGTATGGCACGAAAAAATGCAGAAATTAAAGTATCATTCTAGTTCTTTTTTTAAATGCATGGCAATCTGAGTGCGATCGCATACATCATTTATGTCTGGAATTGAAGGATCTCAGACTTCCAAGCTATTCGAGGCTACCTGAACTAGTACGACTAATTACGAATCTGTGCATGCAGACACCTTTAATTTAGTAATAAGCAACTTCAAACTTCCTTAAGAGTATCTACTTTTTGCGCTATCAGTTTCTCATTTCTTTACATAGGAGGACACAATGCGAAACATCTTTACTCTCCTTTAATGTTATCAAATAGAGATGTTCCACGAATTGCAACTGTGTAGTTAATAGATATAATGCCTCTATCATAACGTAACAGCAGAGAAATCACATCCAATCCCAACCGTAGCTGGACCTTCCGTTTGGATTTTTCGCTTTCCTATCCCAACCTTTTCGAACATGATTAGCACTGCGTCCAGGGCTGGGAGCTCTGGGAAGTGGAGGACGATTTGCATCCCCAGGTGTCATGAATAGATCATTCGTAGGAGGACTGGACGCGGTTATTATAGACCTGAGTGGAGGCGCCATAGTTGGTGCCGGATAAGCATTCGACATTTGCGTCGGTGCCAATTCAGCAGATGAAAGCAGTTGGAATGGAGCATGATATGGAACCAGCGGTTCACCGGGTAGTCTCTTTTCCTCTGGTTCTTTTTTCACTTCTTCTTTCTTGACCTCTATATTTTTTTCTTTCTTTCGCTTAAAAATTCGACGGAACCAAGATATTATCATCTTCTCAATCACTTTTTCTCTGCTATTGTCAGATGCCTTCTCCTTGCTTTTATCAGATGCCTTCTCTCTACTTTTATCAGCAACTGGTGCGAGTTCTTGTAGAAGTTCTGTATTTTCATATGCTTCCCTACGGCGGACCATCATGCAGTGTATCAAACACAGTTGCAAGAAGAGCACCACTGCCATGACGCCAATCACGGTGAGTGCTTTGAGATAGGTTAGCAGGCTGAAATAAATGTGCTGTCATGTCCCGACCCTGTGATAGTGTTTATGATACACCAAAGAACAGTTTGACTCACATCAGATTTTTTACATCCCCTTTGAGAGACTTCTTCTGCAATGCAAATACTGAAGAATGTAAGACTGGTAACCAAGGCTCGGCACGGGCTGGCATCTGGAAATTTTGAAGCCCTTTCTACTTGATACCGGTGTAGCTTTCAATATGCGAGTTACTATAATTCACGAGTACAAGAACTTTTTTATTTCCCGAGGAAGCTGCTCGCCTGCATTACTGTATTCGCAATATGACCCTCGCACACAACGCTTTTGGGTAAGGAGCAGCAATATAGGGAGTTCCCTAGTCGCAAAAATTTGGGTACAAGCTGATCGTGTTCGGAAAATAACAGGTGCGTCTTGGTTCGTGATTAGGGCAAATTTGTGTAGGATTAAACTCCAAGCTCGATCAGAGGTGAAAAACGGCGTGATGTAGTCATTTGTACATGTTTTCTTTGGCTGGTCAAGAATGGTAACACGCTTTATCTAGACACGCTAACGTTTCAGTGAAATCACGTAATCTCGGCGTCTTAAATCGGTTTGGTAATACCAGGTGAGCGCCTGTAACTGATTTTGAACGTCCTGTGTTTGCGATAGCCTACATGATCTGTAGGCTGCTTCTAAGGCCCAAGACATAGTTCAGGCGATTTCATCGCCGCGATTTATTCATTTTCATTTTACATTCATCGATTTCGCGCTGGAAA